TAGAATAAACGATTATATGCTCTGTGTACCATAAAAGGTCATGTTATCATATGATCTAATGATTTTTGTTAGAGTGTATTAGATACCGACAAATATTCATTTACATTTCCTCAATTTTCATGTTTTCATTTAGTCAAAATGGGCAAAAAATGGCCGAATTCAATGGATCCGTCTCCATGGCAACCAAGTGCACGTGTGGAACTCCCGACACCATATTTACTAGTTTTGTACCAAGACACACCTATGGTAAAAATTTCATCAAAATTCGAGACATGTCATTTCCAAGCCCTATAGTAAATTCGTTGGTGCTTACAGAGAATGCGTGTTAAGATGTGAAGTATGAAAGCCCGAGTACTAACTCTTCAAGAATTATGTTCAAGGTTGTATTTTTAAAGTAGGTCAAACTCCAAGGTCAAGGTCAAAGGGTCAAGGTTCTTGGTATTCAGTGAAGCGACTTTTCACAAGGATTATGTGAAGTATGAAAGCCCTAGCACTTTTGTTTAAAAGTTATAGCCAAGATTAAAGTTTTTTTATAAGTACAGAGATCTCTAAGGTCTAGGTCAAAAGGTCAAGATTGTTGGTATCCAATGAAAGGTCTTTTCACAAAAATAAACATTTCAAGTATAAATGCCATGGTATCTACTGTTCAAAAGATATGTCCAATGTAAAAGCTCAATTTTTTGTGTAAAAGTGGGTCAAACTCCAAGGTCAAAAGGTCAAATTTGGTGGAACTAGGGCTGGGCAATAATATCGGTATTTCAATATATCGCAATACAATGACAAAAAATATCGTATCGCAATACGATTTTGTAATATCGATATATTGGCAATATGCTTGTATTAGGGAATTTTATCATTAAATATTAAAATGGACTTATGAAAGTTTGTTATTAAGCCAAACAGTACGACAGAAGTTGTTTTGTGGGAACATTTCAGAGCACAACTTTAATGAAATCAACATTTTTTTTTTGTCAGTGTTGGTTACTTATCATAGTTATGTACATTCTGCATGTAAATTAAAAGTAAATATAGCAAGAAAATGTCATTTAAATTACATTGAAAATATTGCAATACATATCGCAATACAGTTACAAATATCGCAATATATCGCAATACGAAATCTCGGGCCAATACCCAGCCCTAGGTGGAACCCAAAGAAAGGTCTTGTCACAAGGAATACACATGTCAAATCTGAATGCCATAGCTCCACTAAATCAAAAGTTATGGGCAAGGTTAAAGTTTTTGCGGACAAACAGAGAGACAGAAGTACACGACAAAAGCTATATACCCCCGAAACTTCGTTTACGGGGGCATAGAAAGTAGGTGAATGTTAAGCAAACTTCCTTTCACTGTTATCGATTACAATAAAATTTAAAGGAACTTTATAAAGATTGTGTTATCATTTAGATGTAAAACATAAAAAAAAAATAATTTGTATTATTATTTAAGATAGTTCCTTTTGTTTGTAGGAAAGTAAAGGCCTAGTAATAGTTACTCAGATACAATCTTTCTCTCATTAAAACAAGGATATATTGATGTTATTGGGACTTATGTTAAATGACGTGTTTCATACCAATACGCGAGTTTCGAGATTGTAACTCTCCTGCGATAAAGGCGCAAAAAATGTCCATTCGAGCTTGGAGTTGTATAGGGTTGATTCTGTATACAAACGTGCATAAATAAATGAACGATATTTATGGCTTTTAGAAAGGTAATATTGTTAAGCAGTGATGTATTTGATGATTTTTTCAAGCTCTTCTTTGCACATTTACAAATCTACTTTAATTTCAAGAAGCTAATTCAGAGAATTTGTGTCCCCCGCTTAGGGAAAAAGTAAACCATGCACAGTTCGGTGGAGAGGGGGGGGGGGGGGATCCCTCTGACTGAATTTGTAGAATTATTAAATGTATACATGTATACTGAAACAAATAAAATCTGCCAATATGGATATAAAGATTTGATTGCTTATTCTTTATTATGTGTATAGAAGATTCTTTTTATATATAATATTTATCACACTGTAATGATGATTTTATGTGTTTGTACAAGCCGGACCTCATAATTTTTTTTCATTTCACATGCTGAATACTAACATTTAGTAAAAAAAAAATTTCGGGGAAAAAAAGAAAAAGGAAAGTCCGATAATCGAACCCGGGACCTCTCACAGAAGAAGCGAGAGACATAACACTAGACCACGGAACCGCTTTCAACTGATGAAAATTATATGCAAACATGAAATCACATACATGTATATATTCACTTTCGATATTGTCAAAATTTTACACAATGCATGATGTCTAATTTAGCCTTTATTACACAGTTCTAGTAAATGTAATAAGAATATAAAGTCCGCGGAGAACCTGTTTTTTACCTTATAACTCTCCTCATGCCCCTGTGCTAAAAATAACGACATGTAATACAATACTAATAAAACAAACGGGGCGGTAGACTTTGAGAGGGGTGAGAGAGGTCCAAGGGAGTTTTGGTATGAAATTACATTGCAAAAGCTCAAGATCTTCTTGAAATATCGCCCGGAAACGATAGTGTTACATAAAGACAGAATGTACAAATTTACGCCCTTGAACTTTGACCTTTTGACCTCAAAATCAATAGGGGTCTTTCTTATGCCACTGGAAGTTGTTATGTAATATTTCATTGCGAAAGCTCAACGGGTTCTCGAGATATAGCGCGGAAACGAAAGTGTTATAACAGACAGAATTTGCAAATTTATGACCTTGACTGTTGCCCTTTTGACCTCATAGGTGTCTTCTGTTGTCCATAGGTAGTTGCTATGCAAAATTTCATTGCGAAAGCTCAAAGTTCTCGGGATATCGTGTGGAAACGAAAGCGTTACAGACGGACAGAAAGACGGACGGACGGACAGACAGACCCAAATTAATATCCCCCACTTTTCAAGCGGGAGACAATTATAGGGAACTTGAAAACGAAAGAAACATCGTAGTATAAAAATGACCGATTTTCTTGATTGTACAAACATTTTCAAAAAAGTTCAATGATCAGTCGCATGTGTACATCCGTATTAATTAGGGTCTGAAAAATGTCACATCAACTGATATTTTCTTTTTTGTTACCATTTTTTTTTTTTTTTGCTTTAAAAAATAATGCCTTTACATTAATTCGGATATTCTCGTGCTTTAGAGTGCATCATGACAATCATGTAGTTATGATTAAAGCAATATGAGCTGCATGTTTAACATTGGAAATTTTAATTGCAAATTTGTAATTAACAAATTTAATGACAGAAAAATAAATCATTTATAAACTTCTGGTGTTCATATTTGCAATGGAAATTTTTTTATTAGCTTTGATTGAAGCAAACTTGAATTATTGTCGTCCTGCACAATAATGATTTCTTATATAAAACTTATACGCGGGTTTGTTAAGGCAGCACATGGATCAGAATTCGGCGAATTGACACTTTTTTTTATAATTATGTAACACTTATAATGCGGAAAAGGCTAGGATAAAACTTTTGCTATAATTATGCATATTATAGACATCGATGGGACGTTTACTACATGAAGCACTTCACCACGACGTCACCAAGTGACGTCTATATTTAGAAAATATGGCTTAATGAAAAAGTGAAAAGTTCAACACTACCCCGGGGATAATTAATTTCAATTTGTAATAATAGTTATGTAAAAACATTTCTGTACCATGAACACTGCTGCTAGAATCCTTCTGTCCTATCACAGAAATAATTATTCAACACTTTAGGACGAAACCTTCCCAAAATTTTTATATTTTGTTCATAACATCGAAAAAAAATACATCAATTCTCGTAAACCATACGATTCTAGTAGCGCTTTCCAAAAACAATAAGAACTTAGGATAGAAACAAAAATTAAGTTTCAAAGTATGCGGCGTAGTGTTGAACTTTTGCATCTTTTTTGTTACGAAAGACAAAGGAAAGGCTGATCGGCGAGAAAACACCCTGCCTGCTTTAATTTTACGAAGAAATTGTAGAATTATATTAGCATACCTTACTCATAAGCTTTATTCCCACATGAATCACACATGATATTCATTTTAAATGCTCTTAAAATCCAATTTCGTGTGTTTGTTTACATAAATTCTAGTTACGTTTCACTTTCATTCTGCTACTGCAGATCAACAGTTATGACGTCACGGGTTTGGTATTTAACCCCTGTGATAACTACAGGGACCCAGAAACGACAAAATTCCGTTTATATTATGCGTCTGTATATTTTATTCATTTTTACGACCTCTAATCAATCTTAAATATCGATTTTAAGAAATTCTAATCTCTTAACTTCACGTCATATACATGTAGCTTACTATGACGTCATATCATACAGACAAGAAGAATATTTGGTTGTAACCTTAACATACCTGCGTATTCGGTTGTAAAGAAATATTTCTTATGTAACATTTTAAAACTTTATTTTGGACTTATTGGTCATAAGAATTTAAATTAATTAAATATGTATCCAATATATAAATAGCCTGTCTGTCTCACCTGTCTGTTTACGCTGCATTGAAACTCCCCTCCTCAACGAAAGAGCACACCAAGGGAGATAATCTCGAAACTTGCGTATTGTTTTGTATTACTGATTTTGTCTATGGAATAACCAGTCTACCTAATCTATAAATATCGCTTGCAGACCGGATGCTTACATTTTGCATATACTTCCCAGAATGGATGCGCTCACTCTACTGTGAACGTCAACAGAGATGATTCATTGATTATTGGTGTTTTACGCCGAGTCGGCAATATTTCAGCATATTTCAGTGGTCCACAGAGAAGATAATGAACGTCCACAAAGAAGATGATGAAAGTCTTTCACTGTTAATACATCGGAATACAAAGTACATAGGAAGGTCCAGCGCGAGTGATAAGATATGATATTAACAGATTATATGAGTTGCCTGGTTGGCCTAAAAGGATTCGTATTCAGTGAGATATGATGATTTAATTGAAGATTAATTTTTTCTGAAGAAGATTTGTTTCTTACAAACATTGTTATGAGTTCTTCGATTAGATCTCCAGCTCCCCAGAAGTAAACAGAATATTCGAAGACTTTTGCTACGCTCAGTGAATAGTATTCGTCCCCAATGCTGGTTAATACAAAGGCACTATACATCACCATTATAACGAAGAAGATGATCTGCAAAAAATGTAAGAAATATGTTTTGAGAAAGGAATTTCTTTTCATTTGAAGACTGTTGAAAAATTATGCTCAAAAACACTTAAAAATTAATAATTTCGTGATAAATAATCCATCAAGTGCAACAGGAATTACAGCCTAAATTCTTGTCAAAACATTTTAAGGGAATGATTTATGCTTTTTTTTCTTAAATTTGAATTTCTATCTGTGTCAAATTCTTTATAATTTGCAAGAAATCATTAATAAAATAAGAGTAACATACGTAATTGAATTTGTATTTTGTGACAGGAGCGGTGAAAAAATTTCTTGGATTCTTTTTCAAGGACTGAAATAAAATTATTGATATAAATTTTTCCACCTACAGAAAATGTCTGTGTTATAATAATTAAAAGTAAACTAAAACTTATTTTACAAAAAAAAAAACAAAAAAAAACAAGCCTTTAGTTTCAATAACAAATCAAGTTCTTTTCTTTTTTTTTTTTTTTTTTTTTTTTTGGCATTAGCAGTAAAATCTTATTAAACCCATAAAGAGCAAGAGCCATCTTATGCATAAAATGGCCTTGTACTTATATCAATTAATTAACTATCACCCTCTTCCCTATTTCATGCATTAAAATAAAGTAGATACTTGGTGCTTTCATTTTATATCATAAATTATTTTTGGAGAATCCAGATATTGGAAAACAGGTTTGAAAAATTGCAATGTTCTTGAAATTTGCAGAAAAAATGCCTATTTGACTACCTTCAGCAAAGAATTAAAATATGAGCACAGCCCACGATCCAAAAAATAAACATGCTTTGGTCTTAATTAACAGAGCTTTCATTATGTATTTGCATATTATGGATCGGAGGTTGTGCTTTATGAATGCTTTAGGTCATTTTCAAAGGAATCTGCAGGGTAAGAAGAAAATGACGGATTTTATGACGTCATAATGCATTGACTAGATGGAAAATTACGTCACGATGAATAGATACGTGGTCTCCAACACTCCAAGTGATAAATACTGCATTTGCAACCTAAACTGAGCGGTTTTGATTTTTCAGAAATTCTCCGGCCAAAATAAGGCCCAAAGTGGCTCTTGCTCTTTTTAAAATCATGCGTATTATCCATTTCTTTTTTCGCATATATTTGCATATATTTCAACTTGTCTGTAAATACATGCCGTAATCAAAGCTAATCTCAATAATATTGATTTAAGCATATATTGATAGTAATTTCTTTGTTGTGTGAATCTAAGATATAATTTATTTTGTGTATTTAATTAGCCTGTTGAGTTATCCGGAAATTTATAAGCATATCGTGTTTCACTCTAAAATTACAGCGTCTGTACTTCCTTTTTCACTCAACCCATGAACCAGCAGACGGTTTAAAAATGGAGCTTAAAATTCTTTTTTATAATAATTGTGAAACTACCGATAAAATTCTAGTAATTTCGAAAATTTTGTCAAACTAGTCAAATTAAATTATAATTAAGACTTGGATTGCTGTCGAATGCTGCGGATTTATAGGATATTCAGAGATTCTTGTTTGACCTTGTGCAGCATGCTGTAAAGTTATTCAGTTGATAATTGTTAGACATAACTTTCTTGATATAAAATACTTTACTGTATAAAAGTTTGTGAAAACATGCCACCCATAAGAACACGACGGAGGGGAGAGAGGAGAAAAAAGGAGGTCGTCGGAGAAGGTCAGCCCCGGGATCCGGAGGAATCTTCCCCAGCAGCGGAATCAGTGGCTACACAGCAGGGGCAGACATGCGACGGATTGGGGACTGCAATTTCCAAGCAATGTGAATCAACAGGTACAAATGTTTGTCTGTTGCAGGTCAGGTGTTCTATCCCCACACCACTAAATTCAGTTCAATTTTCATTGGGGCATAATGTAAACGAGACAATCCGACAAGAAATTGTCGAAGGAAAATATGTAGATTTGTCACTGTAATTAAAAAATTCAAATATTGAAGACTCGGCTAGTGAACGAATTTTGATTTTGGGTAAAAATGGCCAGATGCAAAGCAAACCCAAATATACTCATAAAAATCACTTCTATTGAGAAATGGACAGACGCCTTCCTCATTTATTTATTTATTTGAGCATATACACATCTGTCTATACAGGTAAATATCAGGATTTACTAAAATACATGCATGATATACGTGCTTGGGCGGGTAGGTCCTCTGGGTGGAAACTGTATGACGAGCAGTTTCGGCTAAAATTGGCTTTAGATTTGAGCAAATCTTGGTCAGCTGTTGATACAGAATTGTGAGTAATGTATATGAACGGGGGTCAAAATGTATCGGTTACAGGAAATCAAGGGATAAACAAATGTAATGCTTTTAATTTACAGGACTTTTGTGTGAGGAAACCATGCTCATATGCACACGCTTGTATAAAGTGTGGTCAAGATCATTCCATAATTAACTGCCCTTTATCATCTGTAAATGTAGTTAATAGGCAAGCTTCTTCTTTCAGTCCAATACAGGCCTTCTGGCCAGGGGTCCATCAATCCAGTCGACTTTATGGAGCTTCCACACCCAAGTTTGCCCCTGGACACCCTCGATTCTCGGGCCCAAAACATATGGGAACTAGGTTCAACCCCAATTAGGGTTTTTGCAATGGCACCATTTTTGCACCAATATCCAATCAGAAATGTAGCAAATGAATTTTACTAGGGTTCACTTTTGCTTTTAAGTTAAATTATACAGGTCCAAGAATTTTTCTTTTATCTGAGAATTTGCTTTCGGCTAGGCAATTTCCAAATCAATTGCGGGAACAAATTGTTAAAGAAGTACAAGAGGGAAGGGTTATGGGCCCATTTTCACCCACCTATTCCTAATATGCACATTTCTCCAGTTGGTCTAGTTCCAAAGTCCACTGGTGGTTGGAGGATGATTACACATCTCTCATACCCTCCACCCCTTGGCATTAACTCATTTATTGACCCAGATGATTGCAGCGTTAAATACACAGCTTTTGATACTGTAGTTGATAAAATAAGTCAGTTAGGACTTGGTGCAGAGTTACGAAAGGTTGTCATTAAAAGTGCATTTAGGTTACTCCCAATATTTCCTGGGGACTTTGATCTGTTAGAATTTAGATTTAAGGATCAGAACTATTTTGACAAATGTTTACCCATGGGGTGTTCCATTTTTGTTCAATTTTTGAAAAGTTTTCAACATTTTTGCAGTTGTTTATAACAAGTAAATCTGGTTTGAGTACAGAAGAGCACTATTTAGATTATTTCATCTTTGCTGGCAGGAGGAGATCAGGTGAATGTTTGCAATTAATGACATTATTCCAGGCAGTTTGCAAAAAGTTTGGAGTTCCTTTAGCAGTAGATAAAACACAAGGACCTGTTACTTGTTTAATATTCTTAGGGCTGGAAAAAGACACAGTGCTTAAAATTATAAGGATCCCTGGGGAAAATAAGGGAACTTAAAGGTCTTTTATGTATTCTAATTGAGATGGAATCATTAGTTGGAAAGCTCAATTTCTTTTCAAAGGCTATCAGGGGTAGCAGATTTATTGATTCTATGATTGGCATTTCTATTCCCTATAGTCACATAAGAATCACTAGGGTACTTAGGGAAGATATGTTGATGTGGGTTCATTATTTAGACAATTTCAATGATGTAGCTTTCTTTACATGTCCATGAAAGGGTGAATTCAAGAGCAATACAGCTCTACACAGACAATGCGGGGGCTATTGGTTTTGGTTGTGGGTGCTATATTAAAAGAAGACTGGTTTATTATAAATGGCCTTTAGAAATGGGAAAATCATGATATCATCAGGGATATAACATTTCTGGAGTTAGCCCCCATAGTGTTGTCGGTTACGATCTGGGGGGAGGAACTGAGCTAAGTATTTTGAATTCATATACTCAGTCGTTAAGGTCCCCTCGAATAATGTTTTTAATTAGAAAGTTAGTTTTGATGCTTATGCAATATAATATTAAAAAACATTTCTGGCATTGACAATGGTATAGCTGATGCTCTCTCTCGTAAACAGTGGGGAAGATTCCGACAACTTGCTCCAACGGCAAACCAGGTCCCAGATCCAATTCCACTCGCATTTCACAGTCTGATGTCCAGGGGGAAGTTTCTCGACTATTAAAGGCATCTAATTCTTACAACACTGCAGTATCCTACAAAACAGGGCTCATGGCATTCCACAGGTTTAGAATTATTTAAAATGAAGAAATTTAGGAATTATCTGGCCTCCTTCTGTGGAGCAAATAGTTAATTTTATTGCTTATTGATCACTCAATGGCTATGCAGTTTACAGCTAGAGCCTATGTAGTGGCTATTGGCTATGAGTGTAAGATAAAACGATTTGAAGACTACAAACAAATTCATTGTTAAACCCCTCGCAAGCGAAGCATATTGGAATCACCATGTCCGTCCGTCCGTCTGTCTGTCCAGACCATTACTCAGAAAGTATTGGAAGGATTTGTCTGAAAATTTCTACACATAATATTCACCATATGAAGGTGTGCACCTGATATAATCATCTTTATTGGATGATTATTTTGAATTTTACAGGTGTTTTTTTTTTCATTTTTATATTGTGGTTTTGTGCAGACGGTTTCTCAGAAACTATTGTAAGGATTTATCTGAAAAATCTGTACACTTCTTATTATCAATATGAAGGTGTGCACCTGTAATTTTCAACTTTATTGGTTCCTTTGTCTGCTTTTCACAGGTTTTATTTTTTATTTTAATTGACATGTTTATTTTGGGCTCATGTATAAGGTTTGAGACATAGAATCTAGAATATTTGTACAAAAATGTGAGCTACAGCTTAAAACTACCCATTTTAACTACAAAAAGAAACATCATCAAGTGTTAAAAACAGTTTTTACATTACACAGAAGATAATGTAAATTCATTTGTCTCTTGGGAATAATGACTGGACATGCATCCAGTTAAAGATAAATCAATGTGTTTGGTGTGGGGAGTTGTTTAGGCATCTCTTATCAACCATGTTTTATCTGTAATCTCCTGGGATTTTGGTACAATAATTAAAGATCACTCTTCTCTTATTCTCTTAATTGTAATTTATTGTCTGTCAAAGCACTTCATTAGTGGATGACCAGCTCTTTATTTTCAAAAGGAATTTGATATAAAGAATATCAAGATTAGTTTGATTCTGTATAATATGATTTTTTTTCAACAATCACTTTGCAGAGTGTCATGACACATAAATGCAATATATTTTTTAATGCCGAAAAAATTGTATTAGTATTGATGTTTCATTTGGTTGTACAATTGTTTCATTCATTAAGAAACATAATGAGCAATTATATTTCACTGCAATTTTTTGTAAGGAAATAGTGAACACCTCTATAGCAATAAAGAATGTGGGAATTGGCACCTTCTCTGAAAAACGCAGCGGGGGATGTTTGTCCCTATTGGGCAGTTCTAGTTTCCAAAGTATTGGAGGGTTTCAGGCGTCTCAATTCTAGGTTTGATACTAGGTTGCCAATTACAGAAAACATTTTGGCCAAATTAACAGGGGCATTAAGCAGTGTATGTTCAAGTTTTCATGAGGCTAAATTATTCACAGCAGCATATACATTAGCATTCTTTGCCTTTCTGAGAGTAGGAGGATTGGATATATCTAAGGGCAACAACTCTCAAACCATTTTGGGAATTGGTGATGTAAACATATAAAATAATCAGCTGACAGTGTGCATAAGATGCTCAAAAACGGATCAATTGGGAAAGGGGGTAAAAAATTAACAAATGGTCATTGTTCAATTATTTGCCCAGTGCAGGCTATGACCAAATATTTGGAAGTAAGACCACACTTTCCGGGACCCTTGTTTTGTCATTTTGGCGGAAAGCCACTAAGAAGATAACAATTTTCTTTAGCAGTTTTAGATAAACTCATTGTAGCTATTGGACTAAACACAAAGTATTATTTTAAAGTATCATTCTTTCAGGATAGGGACTGCAACAACAGCAGCAAACTAGAAAACTGACCAGTCAGCAAGGACCCCGCCGTTGGATGGGGTAGAATTATAAGGGTGCAGCTTACGGAATTATTAAAAAATGTATGAAGAATAAGCCACAGCAACTGTTTTCTTAAAATTTTAAGATAATTCCTGACTATTCAAAAACCTGTGAATAATATCATTGTACATGTATTTACATTAGGCAGTAAAAAACAACTTAACATTGAATGTATATTTAAACAATAATGAAGCTTATGTTATATAAAATGCCAGCCTTAAATGAATGCAAATATCATGAAGGCTTGACCTTAACTTCAAAACAAACAGCAGTTGCAGACAAAGGTTTTCATTAATCTTAAAGTGACAGATAAAGAAAAGCCTACTAAATTTTCTGCAGCAGGCTAGATAAATAATTCCAAGGGATTAATTGTACCTCTGTCATCATTTTCTTTTAAAGTTACAATAAGAACTTTTTTCAGTATTAATGATAGAATGGGGGTTTTATACAACTTCCGTAAAAATTAATAAAATTCCTGATTTTACATAAAGGAAAAAAAGTAAAATAAAAAAATACATCTTCTTTAATCTATTTCTTGTGTTTAGAAATCAATGAAATCATAACTATTTTTAAAAAATTAAATAAACATTTATATTTAAATCCACAAATCAGAGTGTTCATAGCATTCCAAATTGACCTAACTTCAAAACAAACTTCATTTTCAGACAAAGGTGGTAATTCATCTCAATGTGACAGATAAAGATAATGTTTGGATTTCCTTCAGGAGAAAAGCTAATTAATCCCAAGGAACTCATAGCAGCATTCAGTTTACAATGGGAACATCATCAGCAGTTATCTTTCTTTGCCAATGCATTCATATGTAAAGTTAAGGAATCTACCCCAACACCAGCTCCAACCAGGGGACACAGAGAAACAAATTTAGCATCAAAACATGTCTTTCTGCATATTGAACTACCATTCCAAATTTGATCTTAATTGGGCAACCATAAAATAGTTATTATAAAAAAACAGAAAATTTGTGGACGGAAGAATGACAGATAGACAGACAGTGATTACGATAGGGCACCCGCAAATCCTTGCGGGGCCCTAACAAGGGTTTTTCAGATGAAGAAATTAAAATAGCTGGCAGATGGAAATCTACTGTTTTTTAGAGTTATAGAGTTTTGTTTGGTCTTTTCTCCTTCCCCGCATTTCATGGAGACACTCGAGTAACGTTAGAGCTATGGAGCAGGCAAGGGATAGGCTAAACAGGTGTGCAGCGAGGCAGGTATTTCAAAATGGGGGGAGAATTATTACACATTTCTCAGTTTTTAGGTAAGCCTGTACAATTGTACCACTCAGATGGTACACACTTATCAGAGTTAGGGAATAACATTTTCCTCAACAACATTCAGGGGGCCCGGGAGTATTTTGCCAGTGGGGGGAAGCAAAGAATTTCCTTGTAAATAATTAAATAGTTGATTTAGTCATTTTGATTATTGGGTACTCCTTTGGGCAGAGGCGCAGTGAACCTGATTGTATGTCTGCAGATGCACATATATCATCAGGTGTCCATGTGGCCATATCGTCACCTTCAAGTTGGTTGTATAATATGATGTTGATTGTTGACTTTTGCTACGTTGAGGTTGATTCAATTATGTTTTCATATAAACAATTTAAAGTAAAGATTTTAATATTAAATGATATGTAGATGTGTCGGTAGCATGATTGTGATCAACGGGACAACCCAGCATGCTACTTGCCATTTCGGACGACACATAAATTGTTGTTGTAGAGGGTGAGCCCTCTTGTCTGACGACCAAATTGTTGTTGTTGTAAATATGTTGATCTGACCACTGTGGCCAATATCTACCATACAATAAATAACAAACTTTATATTTGTTTCTGATTTAATATGAAAAATCTATAAGTACTGTTGCAAATTCAAGCATAGGGCTTGTGTACTGAGTTATGGGCGCTGGGGTAGGCTAAGTCATTAATTAGTGTCTTTGATAATGTTAAGTTAAAATTGAAACGCAAGATCTATAGATTTTCTTTAAACATCTGCACCATATATATTTGGAATTTACCCCAACCTGCTTAAAGCATTAAAGTTCTTTTTTTAAATTAAAATAGCATTGACGGTAATTAAGCTTTCCAAATTTATTAGTACATGTAACTACCAACATGAACACTTACTTACAAAACAAAAGTATGAACTTTTTTAATGAAGTTTGCATGCAATTATTGATGAATTAAAAAAAGAATATAAATGTATACTCATTTAGTTTATACCTTGAAAACGGACACAATATCTGTACCAAGATCCTTGTTCCATTGTTTGAACATGTTCCCGAAGGAACAATTGTGAGCTACAATGTCATACATAAAATTGTCGTGGGCAAAGGTCAGGGGACTAGATCTTAAACCCCAAATAGTAACGTCTGTATCCATAAGATTTATTGCAGTGTCCTCATCCTCTTCAAACATACAGTCCATCATTGCTTTACATCTTTCGTTAAACATCCTGAACAATACAAAAATATCCATAACAATACAGTTCAACACGCTTATTACGAAGTGCAAGGGACGGTCGGTTTTGCTTCGTTACAAAAACAAGAAAAAAATTCAAGGAATTGGAGTCCCCCGTTTTCGGTGTTTTTGTGGGTGAGATGTCATTTTTATGACATGTTCATTTATATAGAAATCATCATTTAACTCCAAGGTCAAGGTCAAACGGTTAAAGTTCTTTGTATCCAATGAAAAGTCTTCTCACAAGAATTACATATGTAAAGTATGAAAGCCCTAGCCCTTACCATTAAAAAGTTATGGTCAAGGTTAAAGTTTTTTCATAAGTACAAAAAATCTCAAATGAAAGGTCTTGCCACAAAGAATACATATTTTAAATACGAAAGTCTAAGTATCTACTGTTCAAAAGTTGTGGCCAAGGTAAAAGTTTTTGAAAAGTAAGTCAAATTCCAAGGTGAAGGTCAAAGGGTCAAAGTTCTTGGTATACAATGAAAGGTCTTCTTACAAGAATTACATATGTGAAGTACGAAAGCCCTAGCCATTACCGTTCAAAAGTTATGCGCAAGGTTAAAGTTTTTTCACAAGTACGAAAATCTCCAAGGTCAAGGTCAAAAGGTCTGAGTCGTTGGTATCCAATAAAAGGTCTTGTCACAAAGAATATATATGAAAATCCTAATTCTACCATTCAGAAGTAATGGCCAAAGTAAATTTAGAATTTTTGTAAAAGTGGGTCAAACTCCAATGTCAAGGTCAAAATGTCAAATTCAGTGGAACCCAATGAAATGTCTTATCACAAGTAATACACATGTGAAATATGAAAGTCATAGCTCCACTAAATAAAAAGTAATGGGCAAGGTTAGAGTTTTTGTGACGGACTGACAGACGAATGAGATTTAATATTCCCTCGCTTTCACTCATATGGAGACGCCACCAGTTGCCGGTGGAGAACTGCAAATTTATACGGTCTCATCCGAAGTAAAATCTGGGGGAGGGGAGGGGTAAAAATCCATTCTACTATTTCATTTATTAAGGTATTATTCCCCTGAAGTTCAGAAAGTATTCCCATAGTTTCTGTCAGAAAAACCTACCTACCCAACAAACTTGACATTGGAGGTTCGGATGAGTGGAAATAGATATTTGTAATGATGTCCTAAGATATATATCTTCTATCAGAAACCGTAATTTTAAATATTTTATATCCATAAGCATTATTTAAATATATCGCTTTCAAGATGCTTGAGTTTCTGATTGACAACATCAATGTGTTCTTTGGAGACCAGGTATTCCATCAATCTATTGGAATTCCCATGGGTACAAATTGCGCTCCGTTTTAGCAGACTTTTTTATATTCATATGAAGCAGAATTTATGCAAAATCTTGTGTGTGAAAAGAAGAAAACACTTGCTGTGGCCTTCAACTCGATATTTAGATGTATCGACGACGTATTGTCAATTAATAAGGGTAATTTCCATTCCTACGTCAATACGATATATCCTGGTGAGCTTGAGATAAAAGATACCACAGAATCCGACACTTCTGTTTCATACCTGGATATTTTACTTGAAAAAAACACTAATGGTAATCTAACAACCAAGCTATATGATAAACGTATGATGACATTAACTTTTCTATCGTCAACTTCCCTTACTTATGCAGCAATATACCTTCATCGCCTGCATACGGAGTATATATATCTCAGTTGACTCGATACGCAAGAGCATGCTCTACGTATGAACAATTTCAAAAACGAGTTAAGTTATTGACAAGCAAGTTGACAAAACAAGAATATCAGCAGTCTCGTTTAAAGTCAGCATTTCGTAAGTTAATTCTATGGTCGATACAATGACCTTGTCAGCAAATACAGTTTATCATTGAATCAAATGCTGACTGACGTTTTTCATACCAATTGTTAGTCCATTATTTATACACTGAATTGATGACGGATTTTTCCGTTATTCCTGATCATGACAAGGAGCACACGGCGGGTGTGACCGGTCGGCAGGGGATGCTCACTCCTCCATGGCACCTGATCCCACCTCTGATGTTTTGGGGATCCGTGTTTGCTCTGCTCTTATTTTGTACTGTTTTATGGACTTTGAGATTGAATACTGTTCGTTATCTCCATATTCTTCTTTCAAATGATTCATATTGTGAGATATCGTCAGTGAAGCACTTGGTATTTTGGGGCGTCATCATTATTTTTAATGTCATTCAGAAAATAAGTTAATTGATTCCTTTTTTCATATTAATCGGAAAGGTTCAGATAACTTATCTTACTGATTTTGATGTACAAAGATCGAAATTTATCATATGACCTAGGCAACCAAATACAACATTATTTTTTACAAAAAGTGGAGTTACAAAACGCCATAGCACTGTAGAGACTCGCTTGTGGACACCATAAGTTTACCGTAGATGTACAAATAAACTGGGGTCTATTGTCACATTGGGTCCTTGCACGAAAAAGATAAATCCCTGCGCAATGGCTTTGAGTGACGAGTAAAGGGGAAATGTGCAGCTCTCAACTGGCAAGTGATGGAGTCTCCATATGATCGAGTGAAAAATTTTCGATAGGGATGTTAAACAATATACAATAAATTAATTCATCGAATCTGTCAAATAGTTTATATTTTAGAAAATATATATATATATTTTAGGCACTACAAGTGGCCTTTTGAAGAATATTGACACAGTCGATATTTTCTTGGTGTAAATGGCGACTACTGGTTTACGTCTCTGAAAGGTAACGTGTTAGTTTACATTACTTAACGTGAATAATATGAAATTATTCAAACTTCAATAAGAAAAATAATAGTTTTCACAGACCTGTTTACATATATCGTTGTTTCTCGGTAATTTTGATGAAATCTGTCCGTGAGATTTGGCATTTTCCAGTGAGTTTTCAATTTTCATTGATTTTACATATATTTAAGATTATTCCCTCTTATGGACTGCATATTAACACTGACGATGAACGCCCCCCCCCCCCCCCCCCTTAATCTCAACCCCTACCCAAAATCAATCAATCATAAAGGTACCTTGCAAAATCAGCAAAGTCTGTTCCGAGATTTTGTTCCCTAGCTTCTTTTGCCTTTTTTGACAGCTCTTGCAGCAGTGCAGCACATGCTATGCCTGTAACTGAAATAAAACAGAATGTCATCATTTAAAATTTATACCGATAAAAAAAAGAATCTGCTCTTTTATGTTAAAAATATTAGGCATTTACATGTATATATCAATCAAGTTCAACATGTAACATGGTAATTTGAACATAAAATGATCTAACTAAACCTAAATCTACACAAATAATTTTCAGACTAAATATTTTCATTGAGTAGATGTCTTTAATCGTGCATTACGAATGAAATCATTAACTACTTTAAATTTTATTATTCTTATTTTCCATTGAAGTTCCAATTAATGCTTACACAAGTGGTTTGGTATTAAAAGCCAACTAATTTCAGCTATTTCCATTCGATTAGCAAAAATCGCCCAAAGTAAGATATCGGAGCCATTCACATATCTTAAACTTTGTTCCATATCTTCATTCCAATTTTCTTCAAGTTCTCTTCTTCCTTCAATATTTTCTTCATCTGTCAATATATCATGAATTTTGTGACTAAAGGAATATAAAACACAAATTGTGTGACGTGCTGTAAGTTAAAGCAATATATGAGCTGCATGTTTGACATCTGAAAAAATGTTGCAAATTTGTTATTAACTATTTCAATAACATAAAAATAGAACATTTTTAAACTTCTTTTGTTCATATTTGCTATGAAAGAACTTTTTATACGCTTTGACTGAAGCAAAATTGAATTATTGTCGCCCTGTACAATAATGATTTCTTATATAATACTGTATATTCGCTTGTACAGAAATATTTCTTCTGAAAAAAATTTTAAACTAAATTTTGGTTTTATTTATCATAAGGGTTTAGATAACATACAGATTAATCATAATTTACCAGCAAAATGAAAATTTCAAAAATGCAGCTTAACTGCTTTAATAATCTAAAAAGATACATGCCGTTACGTCAACATTACATTTCAATTTTTGCTTTTGAAGACATATCTTCCTTAAGACGTACTTCATGGAAGTAAATGTATTGTGTATCGCATATTTTATAAATGAAAGGCTATTTTGTTGTAAAATCTTTCCAGTGTATAGTTAACCTTTGATTCTGAATAGCTTCTCCGACTTCTATCCCTAACATCAAAGCTTAAAGTACTTTAAACCCTTTTGCAGATATAACCTTTACACCCTCTAAGAGGTAAAATACCCCTTATGATTGGAAGTCATAAAGATCAAAATTAGTCAATTCTTTGTAACGGTCTAGATATTGGTTGTTCGAAAGTCGGGTGACTAACATCATAGCGGCATGTATTTTATTTTGACATTACATCAAACCTAAGAAGACATTCAATAGTCAATAAATTCGTTATTTAAACTAAATAATTCCAAACATTTAATAAGGAAGATTCAAAATTATTTAAAGTGTCAAAAAGGGGGTCATGGAGCAAGTTAATATACTTAGTAAAGTAATTTACACACGATTACAATACTTAATACACTAAATAATGTATGTATGGGATTTCTTTCTTTAATCTCCATTTTTATGGAAGAAACTACAACTAAAACAACCCATTGTTGCTTTTAAGTCCAAATTGCTAAAAAGATGTATCACTTATATTCTTAAAAACAGAAACTTTCGTATTCCACAATATTTCAAGCTGGAGACGATACATTAAATTTCCTACAAATATAAATCAGCTATTCTTCAAAACCTACATATTACAAGAATACCTTGCAGATCTAGAGTCATCATATCGACTATTTGAAAAACTAATCATCATTTCTGTTCATTTGCCTCTTCACCCTATAGCTATGATCCTTCGAGACACTTTATTACTGGTGACGTAGATATGTTTAATAATGGGGACCTTCAAACATTAATTTTAAAAGGGCAAAAAATAAGGGAAACACGATCTTTTAACTCGTTACATAATTTAATAAATATGATGAATTCTGTGGAAGATTATTTGAGGCAATTGGCAAAACATGGAAAAGAAAACCCTTACATGTACACGTTGTCATAATGAATTAGAAGTATCAGATATCTGTTAAATTCTCGCATTAAGCAATAAGGAGCAAAATTAAACCAACAATCCTTTTCTGTTCAGTAAATGAGAAGTGAAAAAATTATTATGAGATCACGCGGTCAGTATGTAAAAGTCGCTGCTGACAAAGCAGATAACGACACTTCCAAGTACTGAATTTGATATTCAAAGGATGATTGAGTTTCTGATTGACAATATCTAAGATTTTGGAGATCCGGTCTTTCGACATTCTTTTGCAATGGGTACTAATGCCCTTTTATTAGCATGAAAGGACATTGAAAGAAAGAAAGGTTAGACCATTTGAAATGTAAAGTTATTACTGCTTTGTTTAAAAGCAAATGGTTTTCAAAGAAAAGGTAGTATTGTCTTCATTTGTATATGGATAAAAATATTACTTGTAGAACAGTAAAAACTCTGACAAAGGACGATGATGAATCAAATCATCTGTAAGAAAAATATTCTAAGAGTAAATAAATGAAAAATAAAAGAAATATATCACAGATTCACTTTTGTATATTTGAAGCAAGTAATTTCGACCGGTCAGTTATGAGCTTTATGTTTTGTTTGCTTTGGTACTATTACTTTATTGCACCATTATTGTAATTTAATTTGACTTTTCCTATTGCCCTATTTATTGTGCCTATGCAGTTTAACATTATGAGGTATTTAAGAAACACTAGGACATCCCAAATAGTACTCTTTGCATCATTACAAAATCAGTTTTAAACATTTAATTCAAAAAATAATTTTATTGAAATATAAATTAAACATGCAATAGATTTATGGAGTTTATTGAAATACAGTCAATTACTTGCAATTTAGAGCAAACCCAATAAGTAAACAATTAACTACTTTAAAAAATGTATTTTAATATCGTACATTTCAATTTTTTATTTTAACCCCTTCTTTGATGTTTTGATAGGGTAAACTTATAAATGTATAATGAAAGTTAAGTATAAATATAAATGCCTTTATAACTAGTATGAAAAATGTCATGCAAAACGACACAATATAAGGTTTTATTACATTTTAAACAATGAAATACTATACTTTATTCATTGTATAAGAATAATGTTCTGTCACAATAGAAAAGGAGATCAAAATGATATCCTTTCACAGCGTGACAGAAGTCAAAATCTCTCGAGTTACCTCCCCATAACGAAGAGTGTTGTGAAAAAATATTCCTTAACCAGTCATACATGTAAGATAGAGAAGGAGTTAAGGACATAAACAACGTAGTTTGAACTTTTTGGTCTTTTTCCTTGGAGTTGAAGATATCTAATTTTTGATGGAACTGTGTGCTAAATTTAAATGTCTACATATGATGTTGTGAACTTCTAAAAAAAAACATTTTTGAATAAAAGAAATATATAGAATATATGTTTAATATTTTATACATGTATTTTTCTTATACTGAAACGCAACAAGCAGTAATCTACAAATGTTTACATTTTTTATCTAAATATTTTCAAAAAAAAATATATTAAGGCTAAAGTCCCTTTTCAGAATATTAGAGATCTGATAAAAATGTTAAATGTTTATCTTTTAACTCTACTAATTAACATATGACTGTTAAAACACTCCCCTCCCAGCCATACAATTTCAACGTGCAAGACTGCTCTAAACAACAATTGCAGCTTAATTTCTACGCTACAGTAGGTTAATCAATATCGAGATCTGAGCGAAGGAACTATTCTTTGCCATTTTTAAATGCCTGTTTTTCATATGATTAGGTCGAATTTTCTCTAACTTAGCGTATTGTAGTAACCCTTGCGCGGGTATGTTAAGGCAACACATGAATCAGAATTCGGCGAATTTACTCTTTTTTATAATTATGTAACACTAATAAATCGGAAAAGTCAAGGATAGAACTTTTGCTATAATTATACATTCTATAGACTTCAATTGGGCTTATAATACAGGAGGAACTTCACCACGACGTCACCACGTGACGTCTATAATTAGAACATATGCCTTAATGAAAAAGTGAAAAGTTTAACACTACCCCGGGGATCATAAGTTTCAATTTGTGATAATAGTTATGTTAAAACATCTCAGTACCATGAAAAGTGCTGCTAGAATCGCACTGTCCTATTATAGAAATAATTATTAAACAATTTCGGACGAAACCTTCCCAAAATTTTTACATTTTGTTCATAACATCGAAAAAAATGCATCAATTCCCGTAAACCATACGATTCTAGCAGCACTTTCCAAAAACAAAAGAATAAGAACTTTAGATAAAAACAAAAATTAAGTTTCAAGGTATGCGGCGTAGTGTTGAACTTTTGCATCTTTTCTGTTACGAACGACAGAGGAAAGGCTGATCGGCAAGTAAACACCCTCCCTGCTATAATTGTACGAAGAAATTGCAAAATTATATTACCATACCTTATTCATACGCTTTATTCCCACAAGAATCACACATGATATTCATTCTAAATGCTTTTAAACTCCGATTTCTTGTCTTTGTTTACATCAATTCTCGTTACTTTTCACTTTCACTAGAGCTACTGCATGATCAACAGTTATGACGTCACGGGTTTGGTATGTAAGCCCAATCTCCCATGCAGAGTTGTCGTTCGTTCCTCTCTCAGACACCTCTGCAATGGGCTCACGTCAAGATTTTTGACATACCGTATAAAACGTAATATTTGCAGAAATTCTTTCAAATTAAAATAATAGTTCTGGATTGATTTAGTAAATATCTATCTCAAAATTCAGAAATAAGCATAGAAATTGAATTGTAATGAATTAAAACAAACGCACTATTTCTCGTGTTTAACACTGTGTATACGCGAGCCAACGACAGAGGTGAATGTATGAGCCGATGGTAGAGAGTGATGTAAGCCCTGTGATAACTACAGAGGCCCAGGAACGACAAAATTCCGTTTATATTATGCCTCTGCATATTTTGATTCATTTTTACGACCTCAAATCAATCTTAGATATCGATTTTAAGAAATTGTTTATCTCTAAACCTCACGTCATATAGCTTACTATGACGTCATATCAGATAGGCAAGTAGAATATTTGGTTGTAACCTTAACCTACCTGCGTGGACTTCCGGTCCAAAGACTATCATTTATGCATATGATATGTATGACCCCGTTGAGGCGTAATGTAGTGTATTTTTGCATCTGTCAGCAGCACTCTATTACCTTTACTTTGAGATTTTCCAGCTAGAGCAATGGAAATGCATATTTAAGCCATTTTCAAGAAGCCTTAAGTAGCATCGTTACGGGAAATGAAAAGAGAATTCATTTTTTGAAATATTGTTGAACAGTAAAAAACCCTTAAAACTCCATAATATTGCCAAATGTTTTGTCAAACATGCAATTTTTTTTTGTTAAGTAGATTCGAACTTGACTTCCGGTTATGGCATGAAATTCGTTCAACCCTTAAATTACCGACATTTACCAAATTGGAGATATCCATAAGTTTGAGATAAAAATTCTTTACTTTACATAAGTATTTCCCCCTAAAATAGGGTGTTGAGTTCCAGAATTTAATCATCCAAGAAATTTTATCAAAAACTGGTTATGGCTATGCATGCAGATCTTTTGTCTTTGAATAACTGATGACACCATAATCTTAAAATGAGATTATCTTGAAAAATTATCAGTAGAAAAGGTACGTTGCGTATGTCTTTCATAAACGATTCTGACAGAAATAAAGACTGCAAAAGTTCCCCAAATATGTTGCTAAAATTCATATTTATAATGTTTCTACCTTAGCTATGACGTCTCAACCGCTCAAGTATGACATCATGTAGCCTAAGACTGCATTACAAAAAAGGCGAAGGGAAAGGGAATATCAAAGATAATGTAATAAACAGGTAAATCAATGTTTAATTGTTGAATATTTAGTTTATTTCACTTCTGAGACAGGATTTTTTTGTTATTTTTTAAATCATAAACCCCTTTTTCAATCGTGAAATGAATTCATATTCAATTATAAAACATTGAATTACTTTATATGTTTCTAAGCGATGATAATATTACTATAACAGGATTTATCAGAAGCTAAATTAAAACAAGGTTTGTTAAATACTTGTAAAATTATCTTATCTCCACGTAAAATAGAAAACTGACAGTATTTCAATGAAATCTGTGAGTATTGAATAAGCTTTCAGATGATAGTGAGGTTCATTTTTCCTTGTCTACTTGTTCTTGAGACATACGAAGAAATGGCGTGCGGTTTATTCATAAGATTGATACCTCGTGATTTACTTCTCATTAATATTCATAGGATCCTGCAAAAACTCAAAATGTACAATTTATTATTTTTTTTTTAGATTTAACACTCGAGCTTGTTTTGTTTTATTTCTTTAAGCCCCCGTCATGGGTGTATGGGTAGAATTTTGCGTGATTGACTGTTAACAGTTTGTGATACCGTCTTTTTAATAATAAGTAGGTCAAACTGATGCAAGAAATAGACGTTTTTTAATTAATAAGGCGGTCGCAACTCTTAATGAAGTGTTAAATCGTCTGTATTTTGTACTAATAGACACTCTTCTGCACTTATTAATCGGCGGAAGAACTAGAGTCATTTTGCGATAAACACTTTTCATTTTATGATAAACACACTTTTCTAATGCATTTGGTTTATAAAACACCTTTTGATTGGCTTTTGTGCTTTGTTTGAAGCAGTAAAACGAGCATTAACGAGAGTGAAAGCTTTTCATTGTGACGTCGTAATAGAGCGACGCAAAAACAAAATGGTCCGTGACGTATTTGATATAACGAAACAAAATAAGACGTAAACAACAAACTAAATACATGAATTGCATTACAATGGGAATAACTTATCTTCTAATTTGGTATTTGCGACCGTTAATGCTTACGCGTCGCCGGTAAAACCAAGTTTGCGATCGTTAAATCAGCATTAACGGTCACAAATTAGAAGATAGTTATTCCCTAAATCATGCGCTCTTTCCTTCAAAAAAACTATGTACTCTCGCTTCGAATTTTCAAATCAGAAAGGCCGTCGCAACTTTCATTCTAGAATCAACATTATTGTGATTTCCGGTAGATTGATTGTAAATTTATAACTCCCTCTCGAGAATTTTTTACTCATATGGAGACGCCACCACTTGCCGGTTGAGAGCTGCAAATTTTGTCCTATACTCGGCACTCAGGGCCATTGAGCAGGGATGGATCTTTTTCGTGCCAGCACCTACTGCGACACAGAGCCTCGGTTTATACGGACTAATCCGAAGGACCGATTTCCGGTAGAAGATATAGATAAAAATAAAAGCATCAGCGGAAGAACTTTTCGAAATAGTCAGGATTTTGCATTTCTTTGTACGTTCTCTTTATAAACCTTAATGGAATCTGCCGCCATTATAGCTCCAATATGGCCGATATGTAAATCGGCAGAAAATACACCATTTTCCATATGAAGAAAATGTTTAATAAATGGGTAATAAAGTCCAATGAAACATACCAAAAATAAGAATGGTGCTTAATTAATAAAAAAAAATTCCAGTGAGAGTTTGCTGATTTATTTAAAAAATATATATATCTTCAACAGACAGTGGTCAAAATTTGATCAGAATCTTTGGCTAAGTTGGCTAAGTTGATCAATATTTCACGAAACATGTTTTGATCATGATGAGTTACCTTCATAACCAAGGATTTTTCGAAACAATCCTTCGGCAAATTTAGCAACATTTCTATTTAGGCGTTCAATATCTTTCTTGCTTTGGAAGATTTTCTCCTTAATTGCTTTGCTATTTTCGGAGTCAACATTGTCGTCTGTGCATGTTGAAAGTTGTTGCATAAATTTGAAAATTTCCCTTTCCTTCTTCTTTATTTCGAAAGCACTACCGTTACATGCTACTCGAAATGGTCTGATTTTTCCGTGAAATTCCTAAAAAGAAAAACTGTATGTTTAAGTACTTTGGAACTATCTGTTAAATCTTAAGACGTCATAGTTTTATTTTAGCCTTTAAGAAAATTTAAATCAAGAGATAAATGACTAATCCGTTTATGTAATTGTTACATAATAAAATATGTTCAAATCAAATCATAAATGACTACGATAAATCGAAATATAATTCATTAAACTTGTTTACTATTTGTATCTGTATATTTGCCTATAAGACTTTGCAGTATACAAAAAAAAAACCTTCAATTATCTATTTGTCAGTATATAGCTGTACAATTTGCTTATACGAGGGGTTATCAAAAAGTTCGTGGACTGAGGGTATCAAAATAGTATTATGTAGTCTGAGCTTACAAAATTTTTAAGAAATATAAAACAACAAAAAATAAAGAAATGTTGAAAATTTTAGCTTGATACGTTCATTATTTCCCAAGTTATTATAAAACAAGAACGACATTATGGCATCACCCGACGCCGTCGCCGTTTAGTTTTCTGACGTCCGACAACGTCATTGTTTTTCAATGTCTAGTTCTTCTACCTCATACACTTATTGTGGTGAGATTCCCTTGAGCTGAGTAAAGACTTCAATCATTCTTGTTTATATGATTTTACAATGTCATGAACAGCGGTTTTCAATGTATATAATATTGCAAATGGATTTATAAAATGGGAGAAATCCTCGCTTGATCGTGTCAGCATGTTTTGCTTTTTGGACTTTAATAACTACAACACATGATTAACGTCATTCTTGACATGATTGATTTTTCACACCTTGACTACAAATCGACATAAATTGTGCTTTCCTTTTCTCTCTGAATCTATTTTGGCAATAAAAAAGCAAGTACTCTGGATGAATATTGTTTCTCTGTAGCCAGTTTAAACATTTCCTATGTCTATACAATTTTTTTTTCAGGGGCAAAACTTTATAGAATGTTGGAAAATGAAAATCCCTCCCCCTTTTTGACGTCATTTTCAAGGCAATATTTGTTTGGATACTCCATGCACAATTTACGATAAAATTTCATGGAACTTCCAGAATGAGATGAAAATTCGATATTTTATGGAACAATAAAGTCCCAACACATACCTGAAATAACGTGATATTTGGATTTTAAATGTTCATGTCAAAATAGTTTTTTCTCAGTTACACTTAGGTCGAAAAAACGTCGTTTTCGAGGTTGCGCCGCCTGGACATACCATTGCTTACAAAAACATTACTAATTTATTAAAAAAAATAAAATTTATGATTTGTGGTTTATTCTATAAATAGAAAAGTTGATGATAACTTGATATTTTAAAATTCATTCATGTACCTTAAGCGATTTTAATTTTATGGCGCTAGTCCACGAACTTTTACGAAAAGATTTCCATCGTTAACCTTAAATTTTATTTTTTTCGAATATTATTTTCATTTTTATTATCGGTGTTGTAGAGAAGGATTTCACCCATAGTTAGGTTTCCCCTTTCGAAATCGAACTCTAGAGTAGGATTTTCCCCCGAAGGGAAATCTCATATCACGGCCAAATTTCCCCCTCTTTCTTTCTCAGTATCCCCCTCCCTTGTTATAGGACCAATATAAAGCACAGTTGCGTTATTTTTGTGAAAAAAAAAGACAAACTGATTTTGAGGTGGTAAATGAGTGCTTTCCGACTAATGTAGTCAGATTTCTAAGAATGTATTAAGGAATCACTGTCTAGTTTTTGAGAGTATGCCAGGGCATCAACAATAGCGGGAAACATGGGATAATTTGCATAACGGGCGAAGCCCGTTATGCTAAAATTATCCCATGTTTCCCACTATTGTTGATGTCCCTGGCATACTCTCATAACTAGACAGTGATTCCTTATATTTCCATTTCATTGTGAAATAAAATTGTTGATTAAGACTTTAAAAATGCAGACATAGATTAAAATTACTACACGAGGATTCCCATCCCAATTTTAGTAGGCCTCGCCGAATACAACAACAGCCGCACGAAATTTTCATGCATATTTGGCCTCCTTAGCGTCAGACTCAGAGACAGATGCGCACGAGATTTTCATGCATACTAGGCCTCCATAGCTACTGACCTATCGACCTGCCTAATTTACATTCTGGCAGAATTATCAGGAAATCAACTCCGCTTACTTTCAAAGGGTTATCATAGAGAAAAAATTTAGAAATGGAAATATTTTAAAATCATGGACTTTCAACCAAAATATTTATTTTTCAAAAGAAACGTAAAACTCAAATTCGATGTCTTCACACCTCAAATAGCACAGCGGTATACTTGTAAATGTCATATATTTTTAATGTGTAATTTAACAAGGCTATCTTAAGTTTATGAATTCTTTTCTTTCTTTTGTTTTGGCCCAAAAGAAAGCCATTCATTCTTTGTAAACCTCTTACTACTTGTATGTTGCTTGAACCCAATGAGCGCATGAATTGCTATCATAATCAAATGTCCATCTCTATGTAAACAGGTCTTATTGTACCCCCCCCCCTTCCTTGAAAAACGGAAGGGTATATAGTAATCGGTATGTCCGTCCGTCCATCTGTCTGTTACGCTTTGGGGTACCCATCTTTGATCCGGAACTCCCTTCATACCACTGAATGAAAGAAGATGGGGGGATAAGGCGGACGAAGTGCCTATAGTGCAACAGATAAGAAGTGAAAATAAAATTTCAATTATATCCAAATTGATATTTCGTCTAATACTAACGTATGCTTCATGTAAAATCTCTACAATTTACAAACATCACACAAAGACTGAAAACATTTGCCTATGAAAAAGCAGACTCACACTAAAGAGAAAAAAAAAACTATCATTTCCTCATACTTAAACAATTTTTTAATATGAGTGGGTTTTCGCTCCATTTTTTTGAAAGATGATCCTAAAAGCTTGCAAAAATATACACATTTTTTGGTTAACAAAAACATGTAGCGCAGACCAACTATATCTTAAAAGTACACTATTATGGTAAAACAATCGCATGTTTCCTAGAAATACTTCAAGTCCACTAAGTCAAGGGTCATATCACTAACATGATTTAAATGCCCAAAATCATCATGAGCCATGCAGCATATAGTGGTTAGCGGGTTAGTCTCAAAGCAGTACGATACCTCGGATTTCAAGACCTTTCATTTGATACCAAGAACCTTGACCCTATGACCTTGACCTTGGCCTTTGACCAACTTTTTATAAAAAAAATTCCAAACTTTTACTTTGGCCAAAATGTTTCAAATATCAATAACCTTGGTTAAAACTTTTGAACGGTAAAGGCTAGGGCTTTCATACTTCAAATATGCTATCCTTGTAAGAAGATCTTTCATTGGATATCAGCAACTTTGACCCTTTTACCTTGGAGTTTGACCTACTTTTTACAAAGTTTAACATGGCCATAACTTTTGAACAGTAGGGGCTAGATCTTTCATATTTCACATATTTAATCCTTGTGATAAGACCATTCATTGGATATCAAGAACCTTTACCCGTTGACCTTGACTATGGAGTTTGACTTTCTTTTTACAAACGTTAACCTTAGCCATAACTTTTGAACAGTAAGGGCCAGAGCTTTCATACTTCTCATATATAATTTTGAGACAAGGTCATTCTTTAGAAACCAACAACCTTGACCCTTTGACCTTGCCCTAACAAAAAATACTATAGTTAACTATAGTTAACTTTAGTAAATCAAAGATTTCACTATAGTAAATCAAAGTATTTTTACCATGAATTTCAAATAGATATACTTTATTTTTAAGAGGCAGTCCACCGAAAAACCAGGCAATGGGTTGCACATCGCATGTCATGGATTTCAATTATTTTTTGCATGTAGACTTATTAAAGCAAGTGTTTACACATGACAACATCAAAAAAAATTTAGTGCTCCTCTAGTCCTATTTTTGGTAAATGCTTAATTTTAAGTGCAGAAAGGTCAACATGAAGGTAAAAAAATTACTACGTTTTTATTTTGTTTTATATTTAACAGATAACTCAAAAGCTGGATGTGTCGATGAATATTATTTATAGCATAGCCTCTTATATTTTATTTTATTAATGAATAAGACTCAAATTTATATTTCTTTACAAAAAATTATATGGTCAAAATCTCAAAATTTGAGTTTAGCAGATGACATTTGGAATTTAGTATCCCACTTTCATTACGTTATAAAACCTAATACATTACAATGACAGAATTTATTTCAAATGTTATTATGAAAACAAAGTATTAATTTTGAGTCACTCAATAAAATCAGTGGAAACGGGTATATTGAAAGAAATAAAAGGAGTCAAATTTACCTATTTTTTTCATAATTTCCCAAATAAAACCGATCCCGACCGGAATTATATAAAGAAGAAAATACTATAATTGTAATGTTAAATTTGGCTCTTTGGTTGTAATATGAATAAAAGATGACTTGATTTATTTTTTACATGGCTTATAATTGACGGGTTTCTTTAGTTTGATAAATTTATTAATATTGCTTTTTTCTCGATCGGGTTCGGTTTAATTTCAATCGGGATCGGTTTTTACCGTAAGTTTAGAAATATTTCCTAAATTTGGCTCTTTATTTTAATTTATCAGAGAAATATGCTTGTCTTTTATTTCTTTTTAGTCGGTCAACTGTTTTAAATGAGTGTATCCATAGATTCAAATGTATATATTTTAATTACTAAATGTCTTTTACGTTTTTGAAGCTTACATGTAAAACATCTATTTGATTTCTTGATACTCGGTATTAAAAAAATATTTGTACATGCATTATGAAACAACTGAGAGCAGACAGCTTTCTAGCTTCATCATTTATCTTATTTCCAAGTAAAATTTCTTTTTTTATTATTTTCTCACGAATAAAATAATTAAATTCAGTCAGTGGCGAAATTAAACTTGCCTAAATACAGAAAATATTTTATGTGTACAGTCTCGACTTTATCCAAGTTTTTTTTTACCTGTCAGCTGTAAAGCCTTTCCCCATTTTCCTCTTTTACAAACTTTATTTTT